CGCACTAATATTTATACATGGTTGCCCTGCGGGTCCATTTTCGTGGTCAAATTCAGGTGCTGAACTATGTCGTCGATATTGCTCTGTTCTTCCTGGAGATATTCCAGAAGAAGAAGATTCTGTTGTAAGCCCGACAGCAGGGTGAGTAGCATTAGCAGCAACGGCGCCATTGTTGTTGTGATCTGTCGCGCATGCGTGTATAGAGGCGACGCTATGACGCATGCGTGTAAAAAAAAAAATGCGGTTAGAGCGTAAAGATGGAAACGCGAAAACGGCGTTTCGAAATCTTCCCACTCTGAAGGCTGAATAAAAAAAAGATCGTTTACAGACCCCCGAAACGCCGGCTTCGTGTGGATGAGAGGCTGGTTTGGTGAAAAATTTGTGCGTTTAGGCCAGGGTTCGGCTTCGTGTGGACGGGGCCTTAAACACCTCTGTTTTTTTCTCAGCTCATCCATTGTAGAAAATGTTTGTCATCGGTTGAAAACACAAATTAAAGAACAATAACAGTGGGTAAACGGCCAGTAATATAATTCATATCATTAATACTTTGGTCAGAGGGAGATAGTTGCGACAAACCCTAAACATGTCTGCAAAAAACAAAAAAAAGTATAGTGGATTAGATTTTTTAATTGAAGGCAATGTATTCATTGGATTGTTTCGGTATCAACTCGTTTCTTTAAAAGAATCTCAAAAAGTAAAAAGAAATATAAGTGCCAATCATTTCATCTAAGAATAATTATATTTTTAATTGTTTGTTTTCCTGAAGATGTGTTTGAAAATAATTTTGTTACATAATTCTCTGAGTTTTACAATAGCTGTGTAGGGCGTGGGCTGAGGGCAAAGACAAATCTGCAATAAAAAATATAAAAGTAATTAAAATGTTTGCATCTAGAAAGTACATTAAACAAGCTCGGAGGCTCCCACTTTAAGTTATTATTTACAGTATATTGTATATCCAACAAGCTCTGCATAATTAAAGTTTTACTGGTTTAAGCGTGTCCCGATAAGTTCTACTACTTAATTCTGAGAATTTTGTTTTGAAACAAAATCTTAAACCTTCCCAATAATTACCCCTTAACATGTTTCATGAATTAAAAAGAATTAAATCTGCAGAAAACTGTTTTTGTTTTTTTGTTTTTTTCATCTTTTTGCTCAATTATCTGCCAGCCATTGAACAGAATGATTAGCACATTTTAAACAAATTACAGAATCAGCCCAATTTGGCTAAACTTATAGCACTTCCAAGAGAATTTAGAGTCACTCTCTAATTCTAACACATTAAAACGCCTTTGGCATCAAGACCTACGATAGAGGAGGAATAGCTGTATGATGCATTTTGCAAGGGATCATTATAATGAGACATTTTGACAGGCATATGAAGCAGATTGCAACCGTCCTTGACCAGTCTCCTCTGTGGCCTCTTAAAGCTAAGAGCAATTTAAACCAAACCATTTGGTGTGAGTGCTGATGCCAATATAGTAGCCCTAAGGATGTAATTCTGCAATTGTAAAAGTAGAAGTAATAACTAATCATTTTCATTACTTTGTAATTTCTGCATTTTTGCAAATATAAGGAAAGAAGTTTGTTGGAATCATGAATAGAATAGACACAGGCAGGATATTGTTCTTTACTTTTTGCTTCCTTTTTCAATGTATAAATTGGATTTGATTGTTTGCAGCTAAATGTGGCAAAGTGATAGCATTCTGTTTGTACACTGACTCATTTGTTGACTGATTTGTTTTGGCCTTCTCTGGTTTTGGAGATAAACACGTTGAGCCAGATATGAATATACTTAATGGCTTTTTAATGTCTTTCTAATTTGCACTTTAAAGGGATCTAATGGACTGTTCTTGTGTTTGCACACTGCAGAGAAACAGTGGATCTGACTCATTTAGTGGTCTGCATCAGTTCTGACAGGATTCTGACTCATTTTCAGAATTTGCTCTGAAGCCAAACAGCTTATCACTTCCCCATATCTGCAAGAAGTCCATTTAATTTGATCTGATTGAAAAAACTCTTTTGCCTAATTTTTAAGCTCAACTATTTTTAGGATCACTGACCGATTCTCTCTACCTCTATCACATCTATCTTTCATTTAACTGGTTAATGAAAATATGATGCTGTATAAAACTAATACTTTACAACACCTTTGACACTTCAGCATGTAGGATTTGATCAAGCATGCATCCATAAACCTTTTGACTTGGCCAAATTTCATTTGCAATTTTTCACATAACATGTTCTTTTGCTATAGAAATATTGTGGCCTCTCAATCTTGTTACACTTTTATAGACTTGACTTTTGAACCAAATTATTAAAAACGCTTTTCATAAGCATTTTTGGATGGATGGATGGATGGATGGATGGATGGATGGATGGATGGATGGATGGATGGATGGATGGATGGATGGATGGATGGATGGATGGATGGATGGTCTTTAAGACAATTTGTCAGTGAAACAAGCTGACTTGCATTTAAAAATCTGAAACAAATAACCTTATTTTATGTAAATTATAACTCATCTTATTTTAAGAGCAAAAAATAGTCATTACAGGGGAGATCATATTATGTACTTGCTCAACTTAAAGGCAAAAATGGGGATTTTAAGTAAATATATATGTATTTTTTTATCAGTTATTGCAGTGATTTCAGTCTTATGTATACAAATAAGAATAGTAGCTTGTCAATTACTTTTATTATAGGCATAATGCTAAGACCTGCCAAAATAGTTTAAAAGACAGGATGACAAAGTGAAATATGAGTGGGCCTCCATTTAATTTTAATGATGTAACAGTTAGCCTCCAATAATGTAATCGGCGATAAGACAAATGAAACATGGAAGTTGTTATGCTGTGAGCCTCTCTGTTACATGGAACAAGTCAACTTCTTGAATCGTCTGTGTTGTGTTTATGGGGGGTGTTTGTTGTGTGTGGGGATGTGTGAGAAATGCATTCACAAAGAGCATGTGTGATGTTAAATGTGTCGTCATTAACAGCGCATTTAACCTCAGAGCCTTCCTCTTCTGTTACAGTAAAACAGTGTGTAGGTTAACAGCAGTAATCACTAGCAAGGAGAGTGTATGTGAGAGTGAGAGGGGAGAGGTGTGAGCAGAGGTTGATTGCAACGCCATTTCCCCAGGCTTATTTGAGTTCTGTTAGCTGAAGAGCTCAATTTCAAAGACAGTTTCTCCACTACTGAACACTTTGGCAAAGAGCAGTTTTATGGTAAAAAGAAGTATGCAGTCATGTGTGTTGGTATATGTGTTTCAGTAACTTTTACCCAGTTTTTCTGCTGTCTGGAAGTTGCTTTACAGAAGAAAACACAGCACCGCACATCAAACATTGAGAGTTCATGCAATGGTTTAATAGGACTCTGAACTACTTCTCATAAATCAGCCATTGGCGAGTTCCGCAGAGACCCTTTTTAATCAGCATCTAGCAGTCATCAGAGCCAAACTGAGTGGTTACCTCAGTTGGGTCGTGATCCGCCCTTCATCTTGTTTTCAAGGGGATGCCGGCTATGGATTGGCTGCTCGCCCACCAGATATCTGGAGAGGTTCTTCATCATCTTCTGACCTTAGCTCTGCAGGAGGCACTGCAGCTGTAGCTGCTGTCAAATGTTGGTCTGGCAGAACTTTTCTTTTGACATTTTACAACATCTCTATGGCAGATTCTTCAAACAAACTGTTTCAACAGTTGATTCCGTCTCTTTGTTACTTGGCCAGATTATCTTGATTGCTTTTATTGTTGAACTCATATCACCAGCACTGATATGATTGCAGAATATTTGGAGGACCAAGCTGAAAAAGCACTGGATATAAACAAAAAATATGGTTCAGACCTGAACTTATAGTTAGCCATATGACTAAGCTTAGCATTCTAATAAAGCAGCCATCTATGTTAATAGAGAAAAACCAACCTTAAACAGAGGGGGTGGAACTTACAATTCAGTTATTGAGATGATTCCTTCCAGGTATCATCACAACCACCACCCCATCACAGAGGAACAAAGTACCTCCTCCCTTCAGCCAGGTGAACAATCCCTCTTTTAACAACCGACCTTTCAGAATCATAGACAGGTATCAGATATTACAGGCTAACAATGGAACCAAACGACCCGCTCGTCGGTTTCAATTTGCATGTTTCCAAGCAATACAAGGCCTTGTCTATATAAAGCCTCAAACTCATTGCGGATCCAGACATTTCAATTGAAAAAGCTTCCTGGAGGGGAGGCGAAACGTCTTCAATCCTTGGAAACCAAGTCCAGTGGATTGTTTTTTTAAACTTTTACCGAAAGCACCATTTGTGATCCTATTCATTGGTTTTTTATGGCCTTGTTTACATGATAAATCAGCTGCTTTTTAGTTGTTTGAAGTAAATAACCCAAGGATTCATCTTTCTTTTTATTGCTAACCTTTCTGCAGTGCACATAAACATTTTACATATATATATATATTTTTTTTTATTAACTTACACAATTTAAGTTACCTCAAATCCCTGTTTGTTTGCATCAAGATCTGAGGCCTTCAACCCAGGCCCAGGGTTGTGGAGGTGCTGCTGGGAGTTTGGAAGGGGGGTTGTCACTTTTACAAAGGTACCTGATAAATGAGAGAGGCAAAATTTTGTTTCAAAACCCTCTAAACTTAACAGGTGGTATCTTCATGGATTCAACCCCCCTCAGTTTTCTAATCTATCTATGTGAGTTCCTTCTAACTGGCCCTTCCTCCATCTCTTCATTAATCTTGGGTTGTGTTCTAAAACATAAAGGACCCAGATTGTTTTGATCTCTTTTTAATGCAGAAGTTGTACATTTCTTAAACACTATGGAAGAATTATCATGAAAGAAATATACCAGTAAACTAAAAAAAAAAAAAAGCAGTAAACATATGTATATTGTAAAATAAAGCACATTCTGTAGCTGGTGTTTTTTTTCACATTTATACAACAGCTTCTCTGTTTTTTTTTTTTATTTTTTTTTTGTTTTTTTTTATGTTTTGCAGATATTCTGTACTGCGGGACCCAGCTGGCTGGCTGAGTGTGAACCCAGTCAGAGGAACTGTCAACACCTCAGCCGCGTTGGACCGAGAGTCGCCTTATGTCCAAGCAAATAAATACACAGCTCTCTTCATCGCTACCGACAATGGTAAGTTCCCAGATTTAAACACAGTGGCTGGCCAGGGATTTATCTAAAACAAATATGATGGGCAGGGAAATGGATTTTAAAATAATATTTGCATCAACTGCACCGAGTTGGAGTTGTTTGAACTGGGCTGCTTTGGTTCCCTGCTGTGTGGTACCAATTAAGGAAATATCTGCTACGAATGAGACACAGACACAGAACTCTACTTTCCCTCAGATAAGAGACACTGAGCAGAAATATGTGTGTTCTTTTCCTGGTTCTTCTGGAAGCATTCAACTTGTATTGAAGTTGGATTTGTTTGTATCATCTATAGTAAATATATGTTTTTGTTTTTTTATCAGCGCAGACAAACTTGCTGCAGATTAAATGTACTAAAGCCTCCTCATACTTTACTCTACAGGGCTGTGAAAAATAATTTTCTTTTGTACAAGTGCTGCATTTTTTTCTTCTTTATTCCACTGTAATGGAAATGATAATAGCAATAGAAGCAATAAAAAAGTTTAATATTTTAAACGTTTTCAGTTTAATATCCTATCAGTTAGATGTCTGATATAAAATTGGGAGCTGTTTAAAAAAAAGTTTATGTTTTTTTAATAATATATACACCCTCTTTATATTGTCTTTTGTATTTTATTTTTAATAGCATCTTGCCTTAACTTTTCCCTCTGTACTCTATATGAGCTACTGGAACCAGAATTTCCCTAAAGGAGTATTCCAAGGGATATATAAAATTGAGCTTGAGATTGTAATATGAAAAAAATATATAAATATATTGTATAGGGTGTTTTAGCTTGCATCACCAAGCTTATCATTCAGACAATCGTACAGGTTTTCCAACGTTAAATTCAAACACAGATCATTTGCATTAAATAAATTATAAATTTGAAGCTCCAAACACAGAGAGTAGCCAATGATTGTTCTTTTTGCACTTTCATTTGCTTTAATTTAAAACGGCATCTTTTCTTTACTTGAGCTGTATTGATGTAATGGAATAGAATAGAATAGAAATATCCTTTATTGTCTTTTTAGAAATTCAATACCACCACATCATTATTTATTTTACTGATATTTCCAGTTCAAGTAGGAGCTGTATTACGTTTACTCATGTTGGTCTAGTCAAAGCCTGGACCTGAATTTAATACTTTGGTATGATCTTTAACAAAATAAAAATTTTGAAATTGATTCTGCCTTTACTTGAGTTGTCTTTCACATTTAAACAGTTTCATGACCTCTTTGCTGTAGAAATGGTGTTTTGAAATTATTGGCTTTAAACTCAACCTTTTTACCATACTCACCTGGATAGGTAACCACCATCATCCTGTGGTGGCGATAGGATGGCCTTAAGTGGCACCGTGTTCATCAGACCATATGGTGGCTGCTTGGTACTGTCAGAGAAGCTGCTGCTCGGAGAATTCCCTGGGCTCACATGAAAGTGTAGAGAGCCCCGGAGCTCCCTCTTTTTTTCTTCTCTCCTGGTCTCATCATCTCTCTGTCTCTTTGTCTCCCTTCCTGTTTCTTTCTCCTCCGCCCTATCAATCCATCTGTTCTCTGTACTCAGGAGATTCTGACAGATCCATTAGAGGAACTGAGGGATTCTATTAGTAGGCAGCAGAATAGCTCTGTTGTGCTGGGGAATTCGGCAGCCTTAGAAAGATGAGTGCTGAAGGAGGAGTAATGATGGGGCAGGAGGAGAACGTGGGAAGAGGTGGAAGGGTCAGTGAAGGAAGAGAAAGGAAGGGACATGAGAGGAGATAACAAGAAAAAGATATAGAGCCAGAGAAGTAGGCAACAGATAAATGAAAAAAAGACAAATGGTGAGTGGATCCAGCAGAGAGAAAGAGTAACATAAAGACACAAAAAGTAAGGGTGTCAGTGCACTGCAAAAACAATCCAGAAATAAGTAAAAAATGGCTTAAATTAAGTATATTTAGCCTTAATTTGAGCAGGTAAATAAGATGATTTGCCAATGGAATGAGTATTTTCACTCTTAAAATAAGATAGTTAGATAATATTTACTTGAAATAAGACGATAAAATAGTTTTTTCTTATTTTAAAAGGAAATTGTCTTGTTCCATTGGCAAAGTGTCTTACTTATCTCCTCAAATCAAGGAAAAACACACTTATTTTAAGAAAAAATAACTTATTGAGATTTATATTTTTTGCAGTGTGGGAAACACAGTTTGATTGTTTTCTTTCCAGCTTTGTACGTTTAACCATAAATAACCTGAAAATAAAGTGATTTAAATTCTTTTCAGTTTATGTTTGTGGAGAAAAAAGCAGCTATGTCCTCTTACAGCATTTTATTCAGGTCCAATATCAAATTATATAATCTGAATGATATTAATCTGTACAGTCAGATATAGTTGAAATTGTAATACAATCATAGTCAGATTCCGTTCATCATGTTGCTGGCTATTGGTTAAAAGCTACCTTCTTAACAAACTGCTCAAATCGGGGTTTTCAGTTTTTTCCAAATCCTCAGGAGACAGTGGAGAGAAACAAAGCTACCTATAAACAGGAGTGCAAGTAAGACGTAATGCTCTGATAGTGTGTACTAGTAATACGTTTTAGGGGGTGGTATAGAGTTCTGGAAAGTTATGCTGCTTGTCATTTGTGTCCCGCGATTTGGCACACAGTTCCGAATCTGAGCGCGTTGTGACGCTGGGGTGCTGTGTTTAAATGTAATATAGATGTGTCAAGTGCATGTCTGGTGCATACTAAACTCTGGCCAGCTGTGCATTGCACACAAACAGGTCTTTGCGTGCATTCATCTCCATGTCTGCGTTTGTGCTCAGCCGCTTACCAGCTCGTTGCTCTCTCAACATCATCTGCATTCTTGGCTGTCTATGTACTTGCAACTCAATAAACTATTTGTCACTGAGCAACACATTTTGCCAAGTGTGAAAAATATTACTTTCAGGATTTTATTTCTTCCATTTTAGTACAGGTGATAGAAAACTTTCTTTAATTTCCATAAAGGAATCCTTATAATATACCCAGAAAAACTATTTAATTATCTTACAGTTTATTTTTGAATAAAATCCAGATTAAAAGTCACATAGACCTGAGGATATTTTCCTCTCATAATTTCTCCTTTTTCTGTCCACCCAAGGAGGATGTACATGTTTTCTTGTAGCTCTTCTCTTTTTCCTTGGAATATTTTACCATTTTGCTCTAGACTTTTTTTTTTTTTTTATCAGGTTCTGGATTGTCATGGTATTATAAGCTGTTTTCTGTGTAGTTTATAAGGCTTGTAATTAGGTGATAAAAAAAAATAAGTGGGTGTCATGTGTGAACCTTTTATAAACCCAACTTTATTTTAGTTCATAAACATTTAAAATAATATTTTCCATATATTATTTTACAAGTTCTGTAGATGTTCCATAAGCACAAGTTTAGCTAAAAATGATGCTGGTAAGTTTTTTTGCTATAATGATAATAGAGGCTTTTCCATCTACTGAATAAATGGTGATATGGAATTTATTGTTAAATATTTAAGAGTGAGATCCAAAAAGTTTCAGAAATTATAAGAATTTTTAAGATAAATATTGTCTGTGCATTTTTTTTAAATGACCATCAAATATTAGTCAGTCCTGAATGTTTAATTTTAACATTTATTAAAATATTTATTATTTTTCTTGAATAATAAAAATAAAGAAACTAAAGGCTCAAATCTAAAATGCACAAGTGTAATATAGCTGGTATAATAAGCTGTTATGATAAGTGCTGGGGGCTGAAAAGTGACAGGGTGAACAGAAAGTGTCCTCATCATTCCAAAACCAAATTAAACAGGTATAGACAGGTTTCAGATATTACAGGCTAACAATGGAACCAAACGACCCATTCATCGGTTACCATTTGCATGTTTCCAAGAGATACAAGGCTTTGTCCATATAAGACTCAAACTCACTGCGGATCCAGACATTTGAATTGAACAAGCTTCCTGGAGAGGTGGCCAAATGTCTTCAAATCTTGGAAACCAAGTCCAGTGGATATTTTTTGAATTATTACGGAACAAATTAAACAGAACCATAACAGTGACACCAGCAGTCTGTCTGACTCCCTGAGATGAAGGAGGACAGTAAGGATGACGGATAAACACACAGGACCAATGGTATTTTGGATTAGAAATAAAATTGTACAGAAAGAGCCTATGCAGATGTTCTGTCTACATTAATTAGAATTGACTTATAATTGTCATGATCGGTTTAGAGATAAAACCCACAAGCAGAACACCACTGGAGACTTGGTAAAAGATTTAACAGAGTTTATTTAGGTTTCACACAAATGACAAGAACAAGATTCAGGTTCGGGTCCGGGCAGGATTCTCTGGCATCTTGAAGAGGTCCAGGCTAGTTCTGAGAGAGGGAACCGGTTGGGTCCAGAGACTGTTGGTTCAGCAGAGTGCTTGAGCAGCAGCAGCAGCGTCTAGCTTCTTACTTACAGTGAAAAGACCTTGGTTGGAGTGATTAGCTCTTTCCTAAGAACAGCTGGTGGATTCCAGAGTGAGGACTTCAGGTTTGGCTCTCTAGGGCAGGCAGGCAAGTTACAGGTTAAGCTCATCCAGAGCTTCTCTCGAGAGAGACTGGTTTCCAAACTTGGCTAACACTGCGGCGTCGAAGGAAGGTCTGGCAGCTGCTTATAAAGGCAGGTCTCCTGATGAGCTGATGAATGTCAGCTGTGCTGGAGGGCTCCAGCCCAGGAGGATCCACAGCGCACTCTGCTGGAGAAGGTGGAGAATCTCCAGATCCCAACAATAATGGTTTGCTGAATGCTAAGAATGGCTCCAACAGGAGACCAATCAAAATACTTTTAAGCCATCAAGCTTCGTCTTTCAATCAGTGAATATGGAAGCAATTCAAGGTGGTAAAATTGCAGCATGAGTGATGTCTCCCATAGTGTTGCAGCAGAATAGTTGCATGTCAGTGTGAGAACAGGTTATTGAAAGAATATAAGTGTGTTAGTTTGGAGTGATCCTGGATATTAAGAACATTTGTTTTATC